CACAGCCATCAAAAATCCAAGAATGTCCTAATATTTTCCTACCTTTCCACAATTTTGCTGAAAGTTGCAGCATTCAAATATAAAATGAAAGACCTTTCTAAGAGTTTTTAGGTTTTCCAAACATTATTAGGAAATATGAGATATAGGTGAATTCAAAACATTTCAACTGCGTTTTAAACAGGAAAAGACCTAACTCAAGGATATTAATACCTCCAAACTTCGTTATTATTCGCACGAAATTACACAATTTCTCAAAAGTAGTATAAAAATACTTGAAGATGGTTTTCCGACTGGAAAAAACCCTTATAGAGGTTTTTTTTCAAACAGTGGTGCCATATGAGTAGATGAGAGGACTTTTTTACTTAGAAACTTGTCAGACTTCGAAAACTGAGATTCCACATTTTTCGCTTGAATTTAGTTTTAAAAATTAATATTGTGCACACTTTGGCACCGTACCTAACCCATACAGTTTGAATTACTGCTGAGACAACGATTATGCGTACACGTCTATACGTCTGCCGGAGTTCGTCGGCTCTAGCCCGTCGTCGCATTTCCTACGCCATTCTTCTGTATGTGTGTGTGTGCTTTTTTTCACATCTTGTGAAAAACCAAAAAGTCGCCCATCAAACTGTTGCGAGCAAGGGATACCGCCGTTACGAACAATGCACGTAAAATGCCGCAAAAAACACAAAAACGTGGGTTCGACGAGGGATACCGAAGGGGTAGCCGATGATAAGATTGCTGGGAATAAGCCAATGCCGATGGGAATGTCTGAGGACGTTATGGGAGAGGTAAGATGGCACTGAACGAACCTCTTTGAATTGTTGTTGGAGCTGTTCCATGAGCACTTGCGGATCGGGTTGTTCGGATTTCATGTTGGAAATGGGGGTTGATGGAGTCATTGGCATAGAGGTGGCACCTTGCGTTGCCTGAGGTGTCGAGGCCGGGGCTGGATGAGTGCTACTGGCTGCAGCAGCACCTAGAGATTGCTGCATGATAAATTGAAGCAGTTGCTGTTGTTGAGCCAATGGATCCACTGAAAAAATGCAAAAATGGAAATTGTAAACATGAAAATTTCAAAAAATTTCACGTACTCATTTGTCCACTGAGAAAGTTCATACTGTCCCCGAAACCAGATGTTGGCACTG